GCAATGCCGGTTCCCAGTTTTGAAAGCCGCCTTGATGCCTTTTTTCTTATGGATTACAACACCTACTCAACCAGTCAGTGGTTCCCACTTCCTTCCGAGGATCGCCGTCCTGTTTGAGTTTATTTTTCTGTCTTGAACTATCTTTGAAGAGACTTCACCGGGCCTTGGGCCTCTTGTCTTAAATATATGGAAATTGAAATTGAAAGGACCGTTTTATTTAACTGAAATTTTGGCGGGTTAATCTGCTAAATTTCTGGCCGCCTCAGAAACGATGATAGAGGTCGTGACCTCTTTTAAGAAGATAGCGGCCGATAGCTCAAAGTATTCCTCACTACTAAACGTTAGCATTTAAAATTTTATATAATAGTGTAGGACAACACTTCCCTTAGTGGTCTCGTTATCTTACTGTCAAATGAATCAGATACGATGGTAATGGACATTCTGAATGTAAGTGCTAGCATAAACTGACCACTTTTCACAGATATTCTTAATGCTCGTCAAAAAACCCGGGGGCATCTCATCACTCCGTAAGCTATACGGACTAGATGCTCAGCTGAAATACCTGTCAGAGGCTGTAACGAGAGATCCGCGCATAGGTCATGTATCTTCGAGTCTTCTAAGGATCCTTTTTACCAAAAAACCCGAGGAGTCAAAGTATGCAATTCTTTTCGTTTTTTCTTAACAAAGAATAAGCCCCAAAAAACTGGATTACAGGCGACCAAAGTCCATTATCGTTCAGTTAGTTGGAAATGTAACTGAGGTGAGTTAACATTATAAGATATGTTGGTACATACGGAACGGTAAGAACCGAAAATAAAGACGATTGTGGGGCACTACATTAGATGCAAGTACAGTTTGGTTTCTTTTTTATTGTTCTCAGCTGTCGCGCTGACTTATTTTTGGTAAACGCCGTCAGCTCACTGACACCAAAACAAACGTGCGAGGGGAATAGCTTACCTCATAAAAATTAGTCGATTGCTTGTCTGACTGCACACCAAAAGGAAAGCCAGGTGGTATCACCACCAACGTCAACTAGTTGCAGCAATTCATCTGGGCAGTCTGTTGCATGCTATCGAAAAAGGGTACTAGGAATGAGTTCCGGTCGAGGAGCTCTTTCGGAAATAGTTCAAGCGTTTGTTTGAGTGCTTAGCAGTACTGTCATGGCTGTCAGAGACATGCGAAAAAATTCAACAAATCCTATCCGGAAACATGGAACTCTTTTAGACATAATATGTACTTCAACCCCACACCTTCAAAATCCTTTCTCCCAAGTTGGTGCCGTCAACTGTGCTGGTCTGTCAACCGTAAATGACTTATTTAAACAGCCAAACATCATAATAAAGAAGGTCTAGGAAGAACGCTTATCAAACTGTCCCAGTCAACCTTAGTCAGAAGGGGTACGCAAATAAGTAGATCGCCGCATCGTTGTTTGGGAGGCCAGAATAATGTAACTTTGCAGGTGGAACAGTTAGACTTTTTTCTGTCTTGAAGCGCAGGCGAAGCCTGTCAGTCAGGTACAAAAAAGTGTATTGTCATGGTTTATAGTACATCTTTAAACATCTAAACTTTGAACAAGCGTGACAGCATCTTACATTTTTTTTCTTTCACAGACCGATCTGAAGCTAATAGAGTCCCAGATTGTTCGCCTTCGTGGTGTCATAAGTGTTACCTTTCAACTGCACAAATGTCGTGTGGTGGTTTTCGCACAGAACCATGTTGATCCCGAACTCATTCTTACAAAAGTCCGCGAGGGTTGTGACCTCGCCTCTTCCTCCGCTGGAAATCGTAGTATATCCGCGCGTCCGATTCTTCGACGGCAAAAATCAGCGTAAGCCCAAAATCCCTTGCTTTTCTCAGGACCTGCTATGAATTCCAAAATGCGAGACATGCTAATACTAAGTTATAATTTTAATTTCCAGTCTATCTACAAATAAAATTAGGGGAGTTCTTGCCAAACCGCAAGCTCTCGATAGTACTGTTTTTTTTTCGAATTACTCTTGATCCATTTACCTTTGCTGCGCAACACTTCCGACATCGGCGACGAATCGTTTTATTTACACAGCAATGACATGATATCTGGTCTGAACGTCCTCCGCTACCTTGTTTGGTGATTTCTTACATGACATGAAGTACAGTTATCGACGTTGCCAAAATATGCCCGAAACCATAAAGTGAATGCTTAGTACATGGTTCTCGACGATTCTTGGCATTACTGCCCCCAGAACAGGTTTTCTTATCGGCTACGCTGGTGGTCCGCATGTAGAAAGTCAACATTCTCCAACATCCACAATAACTAGCAGAATATTTCTAACCACAAAACATTTTCGCTGTACGGCATACATTACTGCTATTTTTTAAAATTGCTATGCTTTGAAGATGTTTTTTTTTCACTCTAACTCCGGATTCGCGTAATATTAACTGAACAGAATCTCCAAATAGACGAATTAATATTCAACTGGAATAAATGAGCCCTTTCTACTTTGTTGTTTTCCTGACAGCGCCCAAGAGGCGCTAAAATAAATCTTTCCTAATATTTGCGTGACACCAACCACGGACAGTACTACCTTAACTTCCCGTCTATTAATCCTCTAGGCGAACGGTGGTGGCCCATAATAGCGATTCAGATCGTCGAAGTTGCGCAACAACCGCCACGTTCAAGGTCCCTGCGTCTCGCGAACAGCCGCCCGCACCACACCCATACCTTACAAACGACGCTGACCTCTTTGAAGTGGACTCTTCTCGCGGAGTGCCCCAACGCCAAGACATGGTTGGTCAGGACCGGGGTCCCCAAGGCGGTGGCGGCATTTCCGGTTGGCTTTCTGGTCTTATGGAACGAACCCTCTTTTGGTAACCACCTGACTACTTTTTTGGCTATTATGACCACGTTTCCTTATTCCCCCTTTTATCACCCTTTGGACACTTTTGTTATGTCCTTTGTACCATCTTACTACCACTGTTGACAAAGTAAACGACAGTGAGACTTATTTTTTATTAACCAACCCAAACCTCTCATTTTTCGCTGCCCACAGCCGAATTGTATGGTAGCCCTCGAATGCAAATTAAGTAGCTTTCACGGGATTCCTATATCTCGCCTTTGTTTCGCTTCCTTACTGTCTCCATACAGGCCTAACAGTCCCCTGAGCCGCATAAAGTCTGATGCGATCATTTGAATCTCCCGAACAGTGACCAGTGCCCATGCATCGTCTTCTGATATTAGTAATGCAGTTGTCCACGAGAGTGCGTTGCTACTAATACTCTGACTTGCTGACAGCACGACGTGAGTAAAGCGCTATACGACTCATTCAGTCACCGTGCAACCTCTACATTAAGAGGATAGCAGGGGGGTCGTACAACCAAAGGTGAATTCCTACCGCCCCGCGTATTTGGCCGTCAAGGAACTACTTAGAGGAGGCTCAAGCGTATCTTTATTCTTCGGCTAAGGGCACACCTGAAACGCCGGAAGCAGGACTGATATAAAACCGTTGTTGGTGTTTGACTTAGTACGAGTTGAGGGAAAATAGCCCAGTGGTTTCTTCTGAAATACGGGTGTCATGCTAATACTACTATGACCCTCGTTGACGAACGTTTACCCCTACCCCCTAACGAGCGTTCCCTAACTGCCTATATTACTCTAACCATTCTTTATCTCTTTTCAGTTCTTATACGCTAATTGTAAGACGAATAAGGCGCAACTCTAGGGTACACGCTAATTCTCTCTCCTCGTCGACATGGCTCGTACGTACCGAATCTCGTGACTATCTAGTCCGATCACGACAACGGGTAACCACGAAGTCCAAACATGTCGAGCGGTTAAGAGAAATTGAGACAACAAGAGGACTTGTATGCGTATGAATGCGTATATGTATAAATGGAAAAATTGTAGTTGATAAATTACAGTAAATGAGTAACGACACAGAGACACGGGGACAAAGTGAAGCCGAAATGCACGAGCATGAGGGGGGAAGAAAAGCAGTCATAAAAAAGGCCGGACAGGGTTGGGCGCTGTGTCTTACCGGTCACCGCTCTCCGTAAAGGGTTGCTGTTCCCTCGGCAGTTGATCAGCAGCGGCCTCATGGCCCAGAGGCGCCGCTACTGAACCGCCTTCAGCACCTAGAGCCAGCGGCTGCATCGCTGGTACTGGCGGTGCAACACCCTTATTCTCATGGG